AGGATTGTTGATTCTCTGTTTGGCTTAGTTTTTCGGATCTTTGTTGTGGAGGGACGGCGTGGTGTTTCTGCCTAGAGCGCCATCTTGCCGGACTCTCTCCTGTCTTTTTAATGACCTCTTGCTTTCTTCATGTATGATGTCCTTGATGTCATTTCACAATTTGTCTGGTCTTCAGTAACTATTGTTCAACTTGTCGAATCTATTCTTGAGATGGTCTCTAAATTCAGGTGGGAAATACTCAAGGTTGTACTTTGACTCTTGTGGACTTGTTCTAATTTTCTTCAGTTTCAACTTGAACTTGCATCAGTAACTGATGGTCTGATTCACAGTGGGCCCCTGGCCTTGTTCTGACTGATGATGTTGAGATTTTCCATCATCTCATATGATGGGCAAGTGTTACAAGTGTTTCCATCGTTGACCTCAGACGATGGAAAAGCTGAATGTCATCAGTTCTTCTTAGGTCTTCTTTATTCACTGTCCAGTTTACGAATGCATATGAGGCGATTGAAAACACTATGGCTTGGGTCAGGCGTACCTTAGTCTTCAAGGTGACATCCTTGCTTTTCAACACTTTAAAAGAGGTCCTTTGGAGCAGATTTGCCCAATGCAATGTGTCTTTTGATTTCTTCACTGCTGCAACCATGGGTGTTGATTGTGGATCCAAGTAAAATGAAATCCTTGACAACCTCAGTCTTTTCTCACTTTATCATGATGTTGCTTATTGTTCCAGTGTGGATTTTTGTGTTCTTTATGTTGAAGTGTAATCTATACTGAAGGCTATGGTCTTTGATCTTCATTAGTAAGTGCTTCAAGTCCTCTTCACTTTCAGCAAGGAAGGTTTTGTCATCTTCATAACACAGGTTGTTCTTGAGTCTTCCTCCAATCCCGATGTTCTGATCTTCTTATTGTGACAGGACTAGTTAATATTCTTTTATTTTTTCAGTTTACCTGCTGATTCACTGTTTTGTGAATCGGTTCTACTTCTTTTTCTGCTTTCAGCTTTTTGTGGTGGAGTCTAGTAACAACTCTGATTCAGTTGTCAGAGAATTCACATCAGTCTTGGCACCACCACTTACTACCTGTAGGTGTGTCAATTGACCCCTTGGAGAATCAGTGTCTTCTCTGTCAAAGTGAGTTACATGATAGAACTGTTGTGAAGACAAAGGGAGCTACTCTGTTTTGTTGACAATAGAGCACTATGCAAAGATGAGTTGTTATTCTATGATATTTACTGCTAGGTTGATTTTTAAAAATGCTCCTGCTTTTATGTTATGATTCTTAGAGTTCAGTTCTTGCGTTTATTGTTCTTACTGTCTTCCAGAGTCTAATATTTCTATTTTTTCTGGGATGTTGGTTTTTTTTCTTCATTTACCCTGAAATTTTGTTTTTGTTGTCGACCTCAGATCTGTTAATTTTATGTAGTTGTTTGTGTGATAATGAAGATTTTCCTTATCTCAGTCTCTTTAATTGGCATGTTAGTACAGTTAATAGGAAAAAACAAAAAACAAAAAAAACCACCATCCTGCACTATAAAGTACAAAGGCCAACAGAGGTACATTTTTATTACTTGGCAGAAAGTTTATTCGTGCATTATATAAATCCTCTCTAACGTGTTCTATTTGTCTAAATTGAGTGTGAAGAGTGTATTGTGGGGTCAGGGGGGTGGCAGGCTTGGGAGTGATGAGATAGGAATACAGTGAGCACGCAAACGAAAGGCTCAGATTGAAGAGGTGGGGTTGGATTGTGGAAGCCAAAATTATGTATTTGATGGGTCTAACTTGCGGAATTTTAATTTTGGGGAATTAAAGTACTGCGTTTAAAATGCCCTTCTGAACAAGGTAAGGAAAAGGTTAGAGAAATTTACGTCCTGGTGACCACAAAAATAATATAAACCAGGAGGGGCTGGGGTATGAAGTCTTTTAAGATTCAGTTATGTATACTCTGTGAGCTCAGTAACAAGATGCTCTCCCTATGTTTACTAATAGTTGTGGGGAAAACCACAGCCCACGACATGTAAATGTAATAATTTAATCAATTAAGCTTGTAAGGCACGTTTACTATAAGGGAAAACTTATTTGTTCTAGTGAAGTTTTAGCAGATATTGAATCTATTCATATTAGCTGTAAATAATCCCACCAGCCTTGTGGTAATTAACCCACTACACTGTAAAGATCCCTAACTTTGTGTTCACATAGTTATTACCATGTGCACTACATGGAATCTGACTGGCTCGCTGCTATAGATGCAGAAAGAAATGACAATGCTTCCTGTGCTGTAGTCAATTACTATTTCATGGCCCTTTTAGCCAAGGTCTGGTAACTCCCACATGATGATTGGGTGGGACTATGCACATAAGGTGCATGGAACCCTTGCAGGGGATTGGTCAGTTTTGTCATTCTGCTAGGCTTGAAGGGAGCCAATCCCAGAGGCAAAGGGGGCCTCACTACCATCAACAAGAGGCAGGTGCAGACTGCATCCTTTGGATCCAGGGTCCCTGTGCTGAGAACCTCCTGTCTAAGACCCAGAAGATAGCTGTTAACATCAGAAACTGCATGAGATGGCGAGAAGCAGCGGCAAACACGGCAGAGTCCAGTAGCAGAGAAAGGGCAGCAGCAGAACCAGGAGACCGGCGCAAGATGGCACAGTGGGCTTTCCAGCCCACTGAGTGAGGTGGCTACAGTGAGTGTGCTGAGCCATGGAGCAAGACAGCTGAGCACCTTAGGGAAGGAGGTTTCCTGGTGAAGTGAGGTACCTCCAGGCAATTATCAGTGGAGCTGAAGAGTTTTGTAACACTTCCCTAAGCAGGGCCGAAGCCAGGTCGGAGCAGGGACTCAGGCCAAAAGCACAGGGCCCAGGACAAGAGAGGAAGGCCCAGCAGCAGCAGCTGAAAAGCTGTCCTGATCAAAGAACTGTATCCTGAGTTATGTTACCTCCAAGTTGATCCTCATCCTGAATTGTATGCAACCTGTTACTTCCCTAATAAATCCCATAATCATAAGTATGGTCTGTGAGTGCTTTGTGTCCACTGCAGTGAATTAACAAACCCAACAGAGAAGTAGAAAGTGCTGTGGGCAGGAAGGTTGGTGTCAGAATTGGGACAAAGATTGGAGAGTGGAGGTATGTCTGACCTCAACCTCATAGGAGTCAGCTTTGGGCTGATGTTGATGGTGATTATCTCTTGTCCCCCTGAAGTTAGATGAAGAGTTAGATTAGGTCTGATGCCACGTCATTTTCACACTTCCTCTGAGTGATTCAAACCAAGTGTGTGGCTTCATTCTTCCATAAGTGAAGGAAAGGATCGGAGCAGAAAAAAGAAGGAGAAAAAAGCTAAAAGAAACAACAAGAGATGATATACAAGACAGTAAAGCCTTCCGTGAAAGCAGGCTACCAGTCCAGATTACTAGCCCGTGGTATCGTAGATCAGTTAGGTATCACCTGGCTGAGCCACAGAAAAAGGACCCCTTTCTTCAGTGATGAGCAAAGCTGAAAAAGACTTCCAACTTTAAGTTGAACCAGTGGGTTCTTAGGAGAGAGAACACCAACCCAACTGGAAGGAATAGACTTAAAGGATGGAAAGACATGATTTAGCTTCAGACTGAAGGAAGGTGGAATTTCCAATAACTATACTGTCAACTGGTTTATTTTTGTTCCTCAAAAAACCATCACAACTTTAATAAAATGGGTGTTTTGCACTCACAACGAGTCTTACTAGTGAAGGACACAAAGAAATACATCAAGGACTCCTTGTGTAACAATATCTGTAGAGATGGCAAGTCAGCAGTTGATACCACAAGTAAGAGCCTACCTACCCTAAGTAAACAGAATCCTTCCTTCCAACCTTGCTCACTAGAATTCTACACTGGGGTTGCGAGCCAAAGCCCAGGTTGTAACTGAGCATTATTTAACTTTGCTTTGTTCTCTAGGATTATCTTTCCCTCAGAAACCTCAGGGAGTGATGTCTTGTGGAAGGTATGCTGTAGTCTTTGTATCTCATGTTCCAATCATGTATTTAGCTAGAAGCACAGGCATCCTAGAAGGACAAGACATGTATGTATAAACACACAATGAAATACTACGCAACCATTAAAAACGATATCTATTTCATGACATGGGGAAAATGTTACAGATATACTGAAAAACAAAAAATCAGATTAAACAACAAGATGATCACATTTTTTAAAAACTCCATATACATATGTATATTAGAATAAATCAGCCATTACAATTCTGTTTATTGATTAATTAATAACATGAGGGAAATATTTATACTGTAATGTTATATGAAAATGGCAGACAAAATATCATATAATGAATGACTTAATAAAGGGGTGATCTTCAGTTGTTGAATATGGACGGAGAAGGAACTGGAAGAGAGTACACGAGAAAGTTGGCAGTGGTTTACTTAGTATTGGCATTATGGGTGTTGCAATTTGGTGAGAAAGTTATTTTCTTCATACTTTCCTGTATTCTTCATATATATATAACAATGTAAACATTTTTAAATGTTTAAAAGCCCTTCAAAAGTGAGACTTCAGGATAAATATGCTGCTGTGTATATTAAGAATGTATATAACTCTTAAATAGTAGAGGAACAGATGGATCTGCAGGGTCTTCATCTGTAAGACAAATGGGACTTGTTCTGTGTCCTCCATAAGTCAGGGCAGTGATCAACAGGTAACAGACAGAGAGTGACAGATATCAACTCAAGTGTAAAGAAGAGATTTCCAATAATTAGAGTGGTTGCATAATGGAATCATTTTGCTCATGATGTTGAGTGCTGGAAGTGTTAACAGTGGGATTCTTGCACTGAGGACAGGCATCTGGAAGGAGAGGGAAGAAGAGATGATGACACTAGTATAATTTTCACTGTTAGTATTCTATTAATCATTCATTCACACATTCATGTGTGTGGTAAGCAGCCTCCAAGATGGCCCCAAATGATCCTTGCCTGCTGGTATCCACAGCCTTGTCTAGCTCCTCCAACACTGAGTGGGCTGATTCGTATAACCAATAGGATATTTTGGAAATGATGGGGTATGACTTCACCAAAGACATAAAAGACACTGTGGTTTCCACCCTGCCTTTCTCTTGAACTGCTTGCTCTAGAGTAAGTCAGCCACCATGTCACGAGGATACTCTCACAGCCTGTGGAGAGGCTCATGTTGAGAAGAACCTAGGACTCCTATCTCCAACCAGCAAAAACTTGCCAGCTGTGTGAGTGATTCATCTTGGAAAGAGATCCTCCAGTCCCAGTCAAGCCTTCAGATGACGGCAGCCTAGGTGATATCTTGATGGTAACTTCATGAGAGACCCCAAGTAAGAACAATCCAGTTAATCTTCACCTGAACTCCTGACCCACAAAGATGGTGGAGGATTGACTTCCTAATTTAGTAGTAATTTGTTTGGAAACGTTAGATAACAATGCAGTACACTCTTACCTGATTTGTTCCACAAAAGATTTGAAGTAGTATTTTTTGATTTGGTTATTCTACCTGAGCTATTGATAAGTGTTTCTTAAAGCGGCACAGTCCCCAGCTGTTCCAGATGCACAACAGCAGCCTATCTACTTAACAGTATGGTTTAGCAAGCCACAGTTTGATGTCTTAGCATATTCCAATAAGAACAGCCACATCTTGGCTTTAACATGATTCATCATATTACTTTTCCCGTAGGAAAAAGGAATGTGCTCTTTCCTCTCCAGTTAGTCTTGGGTCTGTGGACAGTTGCAGCTATAACTGTGCCACTGACATTTCTCAGCTTCTACCCATAAATTTTCTCAGAAGACAGGTATGCTACAACTTGCAGCAGTACAGCATTTTAAAAAGGCTGTTTTCAGTATTTCAGCACTTAAAAGGGATAATTTTATCTGCATAAACAAATCAGAAGCAAAGACAAGGAATCTGTAAGTTGTTCTTATAACTATATGACTAAATCATATTTAACATCTGAAAGTTATAAGATATTCAGGGTAAGCGTGGTCATCAGAGAACACCACAAATATCTGTGGGTGATGTTTATCATCTGTGACAGAATCATACAGTTCTGTAGGATTCTCCGGGTTCTTTGCTGGAGGGGCAAGTAATCCTGCATGTCCACGTGCGTACAGGCCAGTAAGAACTCGCACAACATACATATGCTTTCTGCCATTCTCGTCTGGTTTGGAGAATGCATCATTGGCAGAATAACAGGCATCAACAGCAAAATAGGTTCCTTTTCCATAGGCTGCAGCTGTAAAGAGAAAGACAAAAGCCTTTCTAAGAATGTCGGATAAAAATTACATACTATGTAGAATGGAAACTCTGGTGGCATAGTGGTTAAGCGCTACAGCTGCTAACCAAAACGTCAGCAGTTCGAATCCATCAGGCGCTCCTTAGAAGCTATACGGGGCAGTTCTACTCTGTCCTATAGTATCACTATGAGTTGGAATCAACTTGATGGAAATCAGTTTGGTTTTGGTTTAATATGTAGAATCATACCCAAATCCGACAAAATAAAAACCAAAAAAATTAAATTCCTGCCCACTGAAGCCACTTTTCTTCATTTCTAAAATTCACCCCACCTGGCTTCACAAGGTTGCCAGTCTTCTTTTAGGGTGAGATACTGTGATCTCTGTGCTGACAATGACCATATGGCTGCCATCTAGGATTCTGTGGTGCTTGGGAGTAAACAGTCAACACTAGAACTACTCGTTCACCTCATTCTCAGCCGTCAGATGGCTCTCTTCCTTACCATTCTTCCCAGCGTAACTGCGATTAAAGCCGTGCTGATTGATATGTGGCACTGAGCCTGCATCTGTCCCGTGGAAGAGGAGTTTCTCGTTAATTATATGGCCATTCTTGGCGTCCATGTGGCTTTTCTTTAACTGGTAGCTCTTCCAGAGCAATGTATTCTGGACCCGCTCAATCTGCAAATGACAAAAGGCAAAATATTTTGGAAATGACTTTGTTGTTGATAGGTGCTATCAAGTCGATTTCTGACTCATAGCAACCTTATATAACAGAGTGGTACTGCCTCATAGGGTTATCTTGGCTGTAATCTTTACAGAAGCAGATTGCCAGGTCTTTCTCCCACGGAACCACTGTGTGGTTTCAATCACCAACCTTTTGGTTAGCTGAGTGCTTAACTGTTGTGCCACCATGGATCCACTGGAAATGACCTTAGAGTTCAGTATATTGTCTTTGTTGTAGATTTTAAAATAAGCAATATGAAGAAGGAGGAGGAAGACAAAACAAGGAAGAGGATCAAATGCAAATGGACAGCAAATTCAGAGTAGCTAGCCTCTGTCTTTAGAAAAAGGATATGGTTAAAGGTATTTATTAGCATCATAGTTCAAGTTGAAGCTGAAGAAAATTAAAATAAGTCCACCAGAGCCAAAGTACAACTTTGAGTATATACCACCTGAATTTTGAGACCATCTCAAGAATAGATTTGACACAATGAACACTAATGACCGAAGACCAGACAAGTTATGGGATGACATCAAGGACATCATATATGAAGAAAGCAAAAGGGCATTAAAAAGACAGGAAAGAAAGAATAGATCAAAATGGATGTCAGAAGAGATTCTGAAACTTTCTCTTGAACATAGAGTAGCTAAAGTGAATGGAAGAAATGATGAAGTAAAAGAGCTGAACAGAAGATTTCAAAGGGTGGCTAACTGAGTTAAAGCCATCAGGGTAATCTCATGATGGGATCACAAGCGACTGGATCAGATGGCCCGGACCTAGGCCTATCAGCGCATGGCACTTCCCAGCTAGGCAAGTGGGTTAAGGTGGTCCATTCAATACAACGCTCAGGACTTTTGTCCAATGATTGTGGGACAGAACTCAGTTTTTCTTCTGCTGGATGTGAATGAGCAAGCAGAGAATCCCTCACTGTTGCCAGAAGCCATCCTATAACCACTAGGGAACTCCAGCCTTAAGATGAAGCTGACACTGTAGACAGCAAAGCCAGTTAATATTCTTTAAGCAGTTTTACTGGACAGTTTTGTGAATTAAAACTGAAAGTGTCATAACACATACATTTAACCTTGGAGTCACCTTCATTACAGCTAATGACCATGTGATTTGAAGTCTACAGAGCTTGAGTGAGTCTAATTCCAATGAAAATAAACATAATAAGGTAGAAAAGTGTTGTTTAAAAAAAAAAAGTCTTTCATGTTAGTTCCTTCAACATTTTTCAAAAAGTAATTTTTAAACACAACTTTACCTTCTCAATTGTGTAGGAATGACAAGTCTGATTGAACTTGCCCATTACAGTTTTATATTCTGATAGTCTAGGTTGTAGCTGGACCAAGCAGGGCTGCTGCTGATTCATGTCACTCCAGTGTTCAGGAACATCACCTGGAAAGTCAGCATCTAGTGAAAACACAATACCCAGACCAGGGACCTCCAAAAACAAGGGCACTTCCTATGCTCTTGTTTCCCATTCATCAACTCCTGGTCTTTAAAAAAGGCTACACGTTCTGAGTTAGCTCCTTTCATTATACTCAATTTTGTACACGCAGATGAAGTGAATGGTTCTGATGCCAATATGACACATAATATCTTAATTAATGGTCTAGCTAAAATATTCAGTAAACTTAGACTCACTGTATCTTGATATTAAAATTTCCCGAGAAATCCAATAAGAAACTGGTATATAAACATGAAAATAAATTTCACTTCACCTATGTGTTCACTTTTATGTATTATTTGATGTGGTTCTTTATTATTTTCTCTTGAAGCCTGACTGCCCTGCTAAAGATACTTAGAGCCCATTGTTCTGTATCCCACATTTGACAGTAAGTAGAGAAATGGCCATATACAGAAAATAGCAGGAATGCTCAGAGAACGCTTCCACATAAGGCGATGGTGCCCAAAGTCTTCCTTTTCCTTCCAATGATTTCCGGGAACTTCTAAAACACTGAAGCTAGACATCAAATTGCCATGATGACATGACTGGTATAAATATGGACAGATTGCACCAATGAGGAAAATTCGACAAGATGGCACACCACCACAGATAAAAACCAAAGGATTTCTTCCTTGCAAAGAACACTGTAATTTACTCATTTTCAGTGAAATGTATACCAGGTCTGGGAGAGGGACCTAGGGTATTCCTCTCCTGTTAACAAGTCCATCCAGGGAATTACGTTCTGGTGTCACAGTGAGGCACCTCACCCTAATCAGAAAGCTCTTTTCAAATTCCATCTTAAAAGTGTTCTTCTGGAGAAGTTTCCCACCAATAGGATATGTCGTTTCTTCAAATTATGTTCTTTCCTTTTCCCACTGTGCATCCCCTTCAGGAGCTTCTGGCCTAATGATTTTTAGTCCTAGGTCTTGGGGTCCTTTTGGAACTGCTGCTTTCTTTCCTCTGACTATAGGAGACAACACTGCAAAGTGAGTAAGTGAAGTTACTCCTCTTGCATCTATCCCCCTTCCATGACAAGAAGTTGTAGAGTAGAAAGCTACCAGGCTTGAAGTCAGAAGACCTGATCAGTCTCATTCCATTACCAGTCATGGGACATTGAACAAGTAATACTACTTCTGAGTATGTCTTTATTTTCTCCTCTCTAAAGAGAAATTATTTAATATCTGCTCCATCTACCACCTCACAGGATTGTTACAAGGATAACATATACCAAGGGATGTGAAAGAACTTTAGGGAATGCTAACTAAGTCCTTTATAAATATATGGTTATGTGGAGGGTCAGTAAAAAAGAGGAAGACCCTGAATGAGATGGATTGACATAGTGGCTGAAACAATGGGCTCAAATACAGAATAGTTGTGAGGATGGTGCAAGACCAGGCAGTGTTTCGTCCTGTTATATATGGGGTCGCTGTGAGTCAGAGCCAACTTAACGACACCTAACAACAACATTTGAAAAACTGGTTAAGAGTGATATATATTTTTTATATCCTAGAGGTATTTGCATTTAAAAATGGAGTAAAGGCTAAAGCCAAGTGTATTTTCTTGAAAGACTTCTAAATGATACCCTCAAGCCATACCAAAATCTGCTACCTGCTCTACCTGTTTTCAAAAAGTGACCCAGGCTAGACAGTTTACAGATGAAAAAACCAAGTCCCAGGAGGTTGAAACTCACCCAATGTCACAGGGAAGGTCAACATCAAAGTAAGGAACAGAACGCTGGTGTAGAGACTTAACAGCCCCGAGCCTCATGGAAAATAACATGGTAGCTACCTTTCCTTAAGTTTTTGGCATGTGCCAGGCACTTTCTTGAGCCCTTCACCATATATCCCTTTTAAAAGTTAAGTGACCCGCCACTTTCCCATTTCTGGTGTTCAGGATAAAGGAATGCCTCCCTTACCTCTCCTTCTGCACTGCCATAGCCTCTTCTCCAACTATGGGATTAAAACACAGGAATCGTGGCTCGGCCCTCAGTCTTTGCTCTCCTCACCCTTTATACTCTCCATGAATAATTCCATTCACACTCAATGGCTTCAACTCCCACCTATTTATAAACCAAAAACCAAACCCACTGCCTTCAGGTGGATTTCACAGGAGAGAGGAGAACTGTCCCATAGGTTTCCAAGGCTTGTAATCTTTACACAAGCAGGCTGCCACATCATTCTCCCCTGGAGCAGCTGGTGGGTTCAAACCACCAGCCTTCGGGTAGCAGCTGAGTCCTTACCCACTGCACTGCCAGGGCTCCTAGATGCTAGACTTGGTGTGTATTATTTTCTCCTTTCCTGCGTTCTTTTCCACTTCTTCTAGTAAACGTATCCTGAATTCTGGGGGAAAATAATCCTTCCCTGGCTCTTGGTCCATGTGCTGCAGATAGTGATTCTCTTTGCCGCCCATGTGGAACACGTGACTCTGGCCTGGCCAGTCAGTGTTATTCTAGTTTCCTGGCTGCTGCAATGACTAAGCTGATCCAATCAGAAGGAATCTCAGGGCTTGTGTGAGACTTCTGTTCCCAGGCATCAATTTCCTGAGGGCCAGTATATATACCTCCTCTAGATACTTCCTCTCCTATCAGTCTTGACCATGAAAAACTATGGGCGTGAAGCTGCTAGCAGCCATCGTTCACCGTGTGGAGCTTGAGAATAAAAACAACACAACTGAGAAGAGGCTGAAAGGTAAGGAAAACCTAGATGGGTCTAGACAACCGCATACGAGCCCCCAGATCAAACTGCATCTAAAGCCAGATACTCCTGGACCTTTACGCCATTAGAGTCGATGAATTCCATGTTTTGCTTAAGCTAATGTAAATGGATTTTCCATTACTTGCAACTGCAAGAATCTTCACTATTATAACTGTTATTCTCATTTCTACTTACTTTGTGTGTGTGAACTGTGTGTTGTGACACATTGAGGAGAACTGCTGACAAGAGATATGTGTAGAGAGAATGGAAATTCCTACTGGCAGCAGTGCAGCAGACGACAGTTCAAGTTTAGTGAGGTCACGTATACCTACGTAGCCACTAGCAAAAGTCACAGTGCTTTATGGGTAAAAACTGTGGTTCCAAGAATGGGCTGCATTTTTAGCTATTTTCACAGCAGTGCAGAGGCCACAATACACAGGAAAGCTAGAGGAAGAGGTGGGTGTAGGTACTTGCACATAACGTGTCAGCACACACCTTACAGAGTAGCAACCTGGAATCTGCCTGCTTGTGGTGTAGTACAACCAGACAGCCCTGGTCACTCCCTTCTTGCATCTGCTTCTAATCTCAGGCTCATTTATCTAGAGATGGCTGCTCCATAAATCAGTGTTGGTCAGCTAGTTCATAGCGACACCAGGACTGAAGGTCAACAGCAATCACTAAGTAAACAGTAACACCATTGGATAGACGTTTCAAAGCCTCATCTCTTCTTTCTGCCTTCTCCTCTCTTCTATTTCCTTCCTGTTTATTTGCTGCTCCTGCCTCCCAGGTATCATTTTGCCCCTCAGAAAAATAATCATTCCACAGAAAATTGTGTTCCATAATTATTGTACTTTTCTCATACATATGGGATGTTGTCTGCAAAGTTCAGAAAATGACAGAAAAGTATAATGAGCCTTCACATATAAACATGGTCTATGCGATGCCAAAGAGAACCACATGATATTATTTAAATGAAAAACTTACTTGCAGTCCCGGAGAATGTGAACTGAAAGGTAGGTGACATGAGGCTTTCTCTTTTTTTCATGCTGTTATAGAATACATTTAGCAGATGAGGTAGAAGGATAACAACTTTAACGATTTTTAATGATCCAGTGGAATGTTTCCCTACGAAATCTCCAACACCATTAATTGTGTCATCAGCAACCGTGGCTGGGTTTTTTCCGGCATTTCCTGGAAAAAAAAAAGCATTAAAAAGTGACAAAAAGAAGTTTCAGCCGGTGTTGGTAATGTGATGAGATTTGGCAAATGCAGTTCTTGGTGCTGTGAGAGAGGAAAGCGGCCCCTGACAGTCAGGAGCTGATCTGGCACTCAGCTAGGTCTCAGTGTTCTCCAGCTGAACATAAACAATTTCACAGAACAACATCAAACATAGCCCCTAGTGGCCATGATGAATGAAGACTACCCCATAATCAGGTCTGATCACAGACAAAAATATAGACATTGTACAAACCCGAAAAATAACCAAACACCCTCATAATCCTGATTGATATGAGCGACTTCATTACCACTCACAACTTTAGCCTCACTCCATTCTTCTTACCTTCTAAATATTCAATCATAAAAGCATAAGCACTTCCTGAAGTACCCAGTCCACAGCAGAGTCCCTCTTCCTTAAGCGTGCCACATATCACCTAACACACAATCCATTAAGTACTTTCTAACATCCTCTTACTGAGATGCTGCATGGGTCCTCCTAGTGTGTGTTCTTGGGGACAATGGCAGTGCAGAGAAAAAAACACATGATTTGGATGTGGAAGATCCAGATTTATGTCCTGGTTCTGCCACTTATTAGCTGCGTGATCTTGGATAAGTCAGAATCCCTTGAAACTTCAGTATACTCAGCTATAAAATTGAAGTGATAACAGAAGGTAACAGATAATAGAAATAAGAGTGTGGTAGCTGATATTACAGTGATTAAGAGCTTAATGGTTAAAAAAAAAAAAAAAAGCATGTAATGCTTTAAAATGTACAGGTTTTCGGACCAGACTACCTGATTTTGAACCTAGTTCTGTCGTTTACTATCTATATACCCTTGTGCTTTAACACCTCAAGTTCCTCATCTGCAAACTAGGGAAACTAATAGTGGTAGGTCCAGTTTTTGTAGAGCCTGAACCTTATACATCTCAGAAAAAAAAGACAAAATGAGAGGTATAAAGTTACGTGTAAAAATGAATATTTATAGTAAGAAATCACAACAAAGGATGAAGTTTAAAAAGCTGAAAATTGAATTCCCAACGTAAGTTCCCCTTAGCCAGATCCCAACAATTCTTGTCTCAATTCCACCATCACCCAGTGTGAGGGGAAGTCTTAATGAGGAGAAGTCAGAGTGGAAAGAAACAGTCGTCTTAACTGACACTGGTTAAAATATCTGACCTTTGAAGTTTCACTAGATCATATAACCATGTGAAGATATAAAACCTCTCTCAGGGCCTTTAAAAAGGTCTGTGCAAGTGAAGTCTCAATGCTTAAACTTCATTAACTTCAGAGTAAACTCACTTTACTGACAGGATCTATGTCACAGGTGACCGACCAGCCCTGCCAGTTTGCCCTGCACTGAGGGGGTGCCTGGGATGCAGTACCTTCAATGCTGAAACCAGGAAAATCTTGGGCAAATCTGAACAAGATGATCACCCTATATAAGGTTACTGTGAGGATGAATGAGTTTTTACATGTACAGCATTTGGACCACACAGTAAACAATTACTACATGAGTAACCTCAATAAAGGTTAGCAATTAGTATTATTACTACTAGAGCAAATATAACTGTTCCAGCTACTTCATGGGCATTGGTGATGCTCAAAATAGATACTCTCTGGGAAACATTTTGAAAGTATGACTCACCACACAAATGTTGTCTATTGAAGCATTGAAAAAGGAGAATGTAAAGGAGAACTCTGTAGGCATCACTGAAGTCAGCTTTATTCATTCAGTCCTTCAACAAACTGAGCAATGATTCTGCACTCAAAATGGGGCAGATAACGGGTGCAGGAGACTCAGTGTGGTGTAAGGCTTAAAACTAAGACGCAGTATTGCGTGTTAGGCCTCAAATGGCCTAACCGCAAATTCCTCTCTCAGATCTGCTCCTCCAGGTGCGATCCCTAAGCCAAAGAAGCCTCCTTATCACACGGACCAGGCACAGTTCCTACTTATCCCTGAGTAGCAGGTTTCAGTTCCCTGTCAGCCTGTGGAATTATTCAAACAAGCCAATCATATCCTCCTGTGGAAATCAGCGGGCACCCCATCCTCTTGGTACTACAAAGCCTGCCTCCCACAGCCTTTGTTCACTCTGTTCCTCAGTGCAGGCCCTATGTGGTGTGCAGTGTCCTCCTCCCCCAGGCTGTGAGTATCTGTGAGTAGTAAACTCCTTTTAATCGCATCTGTCCAGAGTCAGGTGTCATGTGTTTGGCCACTCCCATAACCCTAGGGTAGTAATCCCTCCCTCACCAATGGAGGGAATAGGAGGTGATTAAAACCTCTGGTCATTCTCTTGAGCATATCATAAGGTATTCATTACTGAGGAGGCAAGAGATGAGCATTTCATAGACAGCCACACTTCCTCCTCTGGGACTTTGCACTCACTCTCCTTCACTTCCACTGCCTATGATTATTCATTTTGTTCTTTTGCTGACTTTTCCTCCTTTTTTGCTCACAATCTGAATGTAGGCACTTTTCTCTGTTCTGACTTCAGCCTCCTTCTTTCTATGCAGTCCCTTGGCAAGCTCATTCTACCTGCCCAGTTGCAGTCCTTCTCATGATGTGGCTGATTATCATACCTACATACGTGGCCCCCACTTTGTGCGTCATTCTTGGTTACCAGGTCTTGCATATATTACTAAACTGGGAGCTCACTGAGGAGACAGGGCTTAATCCACTGTCTCCCCAGAGCTAAGCTGCAGAGTGCTTATACCAAGTGAGAGGAATGAACCAACTAGAGATCCACAAGGGATTGTAAATGCCTAATGGGAACAATGGAGAAGCTGATTTCTAATCTGGCTTTTGAAAAAAGTAGTAACTGTAATTGGCAAGATGGTGGTGGGAAAGGATCCCATATGAGGAGAATAACATAAACAAAAGGAGCCAAAAATGGGACAAAGAAGATTATGAATGACAGGTGGTAATGAGAGCAGTAGCGAAACCAGGGAAGAATGTGCTGCAAACATTGGATGGGTGCCCTGGAGTTAAGGCAGGGAGGGCCTGGAATGCCCGATGAAGACATTCAGTTTTAATCTGGAAAGCGGAATGAGGTCAACCGGGTTGAGCTAAGATGGTAACAATGACTCTAAGGCCAGGAGTTTAATTTCTAAGAGAACCTGTTAGATAACATTAACCTGTGGCTGCAGACCACTGCCCAACCCCTAACTTCCCACATGCCCATGAAAATGACAGTTGACATGAGTGTGAATTAATTAGGGGTCAGCGGCATCATCCTCAACTAAGAAGAGCAAGTTATGGCATGATATGACACAGATGATAAGGAAAGTGTTCCTAGAAACTGTGAATAGGATGAACCCAAGTCTGTCGCTTATGGGTGAGGCATGTTTCTCACTCCCGATTTTATTCCCAGCGCCTTGCACAGGGCCTCAGTAACAGCATTTCAGTCTACTGAATGTACAAACTAGGAGATAACCGGGAGACGCTGCAGTAAACCAGGTGCGAGAGGTATTAACGGTTCTGAGATGAAAAAGTAGGCTGAAACTGAAGAACACTCTGGAAGATTTAGCAGGGCTTGCTATCTGTGGGCATCTGGGGGCCCAAAAAAGCAAGGGAGACAGGCCAGGGGAACTCAAAGGTTCACGGCACCACCAAGAAGAGGAAGCTAGAAAACTAAAGAACTCCCTTCTATCTATCGAGGGAGGGTGATGAGCTTGGATTCTGATGTAATTAAGCTTCTGGTAACAGAAAAAGCTCACAGAGTAGATCCCAGAGAGGCATAAAAACACTGATTTGGGAATCGGTATAGAAATAGTCATTGATGTAATGAAAGCAAATGAATCTCACAAAGGTTAAAAAAAAAAAAAAAAAGGAGAGTGAGAAAACCATGAAGCTAAAGACCAAACATGGAAACAATACTTAGGGAGCATATAATAAAGAAGAAAGATGGATGAAAGAGGCTTAGACCCCAAAGATGAGGCCCTCAGGATCTCCAAGCTACATCACTATTGCTGCCTTCAAATTGCCTCGGTATTAATTTCATTAAGACTGAAACTAAAAGAATCCGAATTACTTAGAATTTTAGGTTGGTAAGAGACACAAACCTGTTCCAATGGCTGGAAGGCAAACAGAAGCGTACTGCCTCTTTTTACACTCTTGTAGAACATCGTACACCGTTTTCCTCACATTGTTGTCCCCAATAACGTGAATTATCCTCCTGCACATTAAGTGTCCCCCTCGGGTAACTATAAAATCTTGGTGACCCTGTGCAGCTGAAGAAAAAAAAAAAGAAAGACAATAAAGCACATTAGTTACTGGAAGCAACACTTTGATTATGGAGAAATGAAAATAGCCGACAGCAGAAAAGGCAGAGAAGGTTCCCGATTAAGCCCAGCTGCCCTCGCTCCTGCTGCTTTCATTCACCTCAACTGGGAGAGATTCGTTTTCTTTACAATCACATTCTTTCTTTTTTCCTAGGTAAAGGCTGGTTTCCACACGAAGGTACTAGGGTCCATGTACATGTCCATTTATTTCTTTGTTTAAAAGTTTCTGGTTTTTTTTTTTTTTTTACTTTTTTTTTATTGCGCTTTAGGTGAGAGTTTACTGAGCAATTTAGTTTCTCATTCAACAATTTACACATAACTTGTTTTGTGACACTGGTTGTGATTCCCACAATGTGTCCACACTCTCCCCTTCTCCACCCCAGCTTCTCTGCTTCCATTCGTCCTGTTTTCCTGTCCCTTCCTGCCTTCTCATCGTTGCTTTTGGCAGGTGTTGCCAATTTGGTCTCGTTTACACGATTAAGCTATGTTTGTTTTATAGACATGTGTAATCTTTGGCTAAAGGGTGAACTTTGGGATACAATCACATTCTTGAACTCAATAAATACGTCGAGTATCTTGGGCACTTTTCAAAAGCACTCTACCTGCGATAGTTTACTTCATCCTCAAAACAAGCCTATGAGGGAGGTACTGTTTTATCCATATCACTGATTAAACCAAGGCACAGAGAGGTAAAGTAAGTAGCCCAAGATTGCCCAGGATGTGAACCCAGGCAGTCAGTCTCCTGGTCCCTCAACTACCACTCCACTGTGCCAGAAGAGCAATCTATGCTCATTCAACAGATTAATTTTACAAAGAGTTAAAAGCTAAGTACTCTCTGATGCAGGGGTTGAAAGGATGAAAGCTTCTATCCCTCTCAGGACCCTGGGAGATCTTGGGCATGTGGAATTTCCAGGGCAGCTGGAAGGCTCTGCCCTGTTGGTTCACGCTGTTCTCAGTAAGGCACGGCCTCAGCAAAATTGACAAGGGGGACAATGGATCCCTGCCTCCCCACACTGCCCTCTTTGTGAGCACCCAGTTTTCCCTGTTGCCCCTTGGATGTCTCACCTGCTTTCCCCTTCTAGGCAGCCTCCTTAGCCTTTTCCCACTATCCCAACCCCAGCTTCATTCTCTGCTCTGCCTTCCAAGGTGCAGCTCTTCCCATATACTGTTGTTGATGCTGTTGTTGCTGCTGTGTGCCGTAAAGTCGATTCAGACACATAGTGACCCTTTAGGACAGAGTAGAACTGCCCCATAGGGTTTCCAAGATGTGGCTGGTGGATTTGAACTGCTCACCTTCTGGATAGCAGCTGAGCTCTCAACCACTGCGCCACCAGAGCTCAATGGCCTCTTGTTGGTGATCAAGTATTACCTTCCTCTTTTCTCCCTCTAGCAATTTATTCGCTCCAGAAACAAGGCCTTACTCAGAGGAGAGCTGTTGAGGTGGGGGTTTCAGAGGAGCAGACGAGTCGGGGGAATACATTGTCAGACGTGGGGCACCATGACTCCTTCAAAGCATGCTGGGAGCTGACTGCCTACTCTACTCTGCAAAGCATGAGTCCTGGTTTTGAATGACAAATATTTATGATCACCCCTACAGACTGCCCAGCCAGGCTTCACACTCATTCATAAAAGGACTAGAAGTCAGCTACGTGGAGATGTGCTATGAGAAGTAGAACAAGGCTGTGAAAGTAAAAGGTTATTTGCCCAACACTTTACACTTGATAAAACTTTCACATTCATTATCCTTTCTAATCCTCACAAGAACCAGTGGTACAGCCCTTACCAAACTCCTTATTATTAGAACCGTCTTACAGATGGGAGAAGCAAAACTCTTAGAGGCTAGATGGCATGTCCAGGTTCACTTAGTAAATAGTGGAGACTGGATTAGGAGCCAGGGTTAGCTTCTTTTTAATACTTAGAAAGGAGGAAACAGATGGTGATGGGATAAAAGACCCCTCTTCCACAGCCACCAAGTCACACCATCTTATGTCTGCTCTGCCAGTGAACCTGGGGGCAGTGAAGGTTCAGTGGTAGAATTCTCGCCTTCCATACTGGAGACGGGTCAAGTCTCAACTAATTGGAGGCTTCCACGTTGCTATGATGCTGAACAGGTTTCAATGGAGCTTCCAGACTAAGGTGGACTAGGAAAAAAGGCCTGACTAGGAAGAAAGGCCTGACATTCTACTTCCAAAAATCAGCCAATGAAAACCCTATAAATCAAAGCAACCAATCCCAGGCAGCCTTCTGTTCTGTTGTGCATGGGGCTACGATGACTTGGGGGCAGCTCGAGGGCACCTAATAACAACTCAATGAACCTGCCTTCCAAAGGGCTCATTACTTACTGCATGAGCTGCTCACCAAGGTGCCACCCCTAGTCCCCATAGGTCCTAGTCCCCATAGGTCCTCTAGTTTTCAATAGGTTGTAGCCAAAAGTAACATGTATCCATACCTCGTACAGCACATTCATTTTCCACCGCTGGCCCAGCGCCTTCTAAAATTGCTTTGGACACCCCTAAATAAGAAATGTTGATGGTAACAAGCATCAGGTTAGAATTCAATGAGTGGTTCTTGTACATTAGACTTTTGTTCAGCTCACCCTTTTGAACCCCACTAGACCACCTTTTCTATAACAACCTTCATTTGCTGGCTAATGAGTAAACAATTTGATCCACATCCTGATGGCACTGCATAGTTGCTCAAAGTCCAGTGTCTGCAACTTTACGGTTACTGTTTGTACAGTGGTATTTTTACAGTTATTTGGAAGTTTTTGCATTCTACTCTAATGATTTTATAAATACAAATGAAAAATAGAAAAATAAAAATTGTTCGTTGGTTTGTTTTTTTTTTTTTTTTTTTTTTGCTAACAAGAAGCATGGATCCAAAACCATAATAAAATTGAGCATTTTACTTAAGTTCTGTAATTTTGTTGTTTAATTTTATTGTTTTCTTTCAATTTAACGAACAGTTGGCTGACTTCAGTTCAACAACTCTTCCAATGTAACTAGAATCGCATCTAATGACAGCTGGGTTGAATGGTTGCAATCACGGCCTTTGCATGATGACAGGCTTGGAGTACTGAGTCCACCACTTATTAGCTACTGTGTGACTAATCATCTGTCACACACAGACTGGTGTAGTACCTCCCTCACAGGGAGAAAATGCATGAAAAGTGCTTAGCACACAACCTGGCACACTGCGAGTATTGAATAAATGTTAGTGACTTGATCATCATAAAAATTACATGCGTGTGTGTATGTGTTGTATACGTGTCATCGTTAGTTTCTGTCAAGTCAGTTCTGACTCACGGCAGCCCCAAATGTGCAAAATAGAATGGCTCCATAGGGTTTTCAAAAGCACATCGCCAGGGCTGTCTTTCGAGGCGCCTCTGGGTGGGTTTGAATCGCCAACCTTTCGGCTAAGTAGTGGAGTGCTAAACTGTTTGCAACACCCAGGGAAAAAGTTCGAAATAAACACACACATGTTGGGAGGCTCAAAATTGTCTCACCAGTGGGGACAGCCCAACATGTTTTTGAAAATTAAGGAAAAGGGGATTTGCTTTTGGGTCAGTGTAACGTAGAAAAGTGAATCGTTACATGAGATGAGACGTGTCAACTGAGATACGTCAAAAGGATATAAAAATAGAGGAACTTAAAACTTATTCAATTATAAGTATGGAATTTTGATAGTTCAGAGCTATAGAGGGAATGACAGCTGACACTGACTAAGTTCCTACTGTGGTCCAACGTAGTATGATGCCCTTGACATCGGTTCCACCCCATCTACTCCTCCTCTGGGAGGTAGGCGTTTGACAGGAAGAGAAACTGAGACTCAGAGAGGTTAAGTGACTTGTCCAAGACCACGTAATATAAGAGGTATAGCTGGGATTCAAACCCAGGTCTTTCTGATTCCCGGGCCAATGTATACTCTACAATACTTTCTGTCTACTCAGGGCAGTATTAGTCACAATTTCCTTTCCAGACTTAGTCATGTGAATAGTTACAGTCAAGTAACTTCCTTAAAGAAAATACCTGATTTCAGATTAAATGTTCTTGTTGTTGAATTTACAATAACATCAGCTCTTTCTTTGGTAATATCTCCAGTAGCAACCTGGAAAGTAATTGCACCAATTTTCATTTCATATGTTCCAACCCAAGTGCTACAGACAGTTCCAAAGATACCTGAAAAGAAAGAAAATAGATTTAAAAAATAGGCTGGCTCCTGGAGAAAGGACAAACCTAAGGGCCTACTCTGTTCCCACTCCTCTTTCTTTCCCTCTGACAGAATAGAGGTATCACTATGTCTTCTGCCCTGTTATACTGCTGGGGTTTCTTTCTTAAGTTAAAAGGATGAGGCAGAAACATCTGATTGGGCCAATCTGTTTGTTTATAAAATGGAGATGGGAAAGCCTAGCCTATGGCTAGAACAAGTTGGTGGGGTAGAGAGTGGAAGACGAGGATCTTTGTTTTACACGTTATGTTTATATGTCATATCTTGTACAGAACCAGGCAAAGACACCTAGTATGCAGTGAATGCACTGGAGTTCAGGAGAGGGTCTGAACTGGAGATATAAACTAGGAGTCATGGGCACATTGTTATTAGTTGCCATCAAATCGGCTCTGACCATGGTGACTTTATGAACAAAAGAACAAAACATTGCCTGGTCCTGTACCATCCTCATGACCGTTGGTATGTTTGAGTCCATTGTTGTGGGTATTGTGTCAATCTACCTCATTGAGGGTTTCCCTCATTTTCCTTGGCCCTCTTCTTTACTAAACATGATGTTCTTTTCTAGCAACTGGCCTTTCCTGATGGCATGTCCAATGTAAGCAAGTTGAAGTCTTGCCTTCCTTGCTTCTAAGGAACATTCTGGTTGTATTTCTTCTAAGACTGATTTGTTCATGCTTCTGGAAGTCCACGGTATAATCAATATTCTTTACCAACACCACAGTTTGAATGCATCAATTCTTCCGTCTTCCTTTTTCATTATCCAACTTTTGCATGTATATGAGGTGACTGAAAATACCATGGTGGGTCAGATGCACCTTAGTCATCAAAATGATATCTTTGCTTTTTAAAATTTTAAAGAGGTCTTTTGCAGCAGATTTGCCCAATCATGAGCACATCGATGGTATTTAAAGACATTAGATTATACTAGATCTCCAAGGGACTGAATATAGACAAAGCGGGGAAAAGAACCAAGGACAAAGTCCAGCATTAAAAAGTTAGGGGAAAGAAGAAGACTGAGAACGAATAGTAAATGAGGGAAGAGAAAAACCATAGTGTAGTGACCTAGCAGCAAATGAAAAGGTGTATCCAGGAGGCAGCAACCATCAATTATGTTAAATGCTGCTAAGAGATCAAGTAAAATGAGGACTGAGAAGTGGTTATTGAGCTTAGCAGTGTAGAGGTCTTAGGTGACTTTGACAAGCACAGTTTTGTGCAATGGTGGAGGTGAAACCTTGTCTGGTGTGGACATAAGAAATAATGAGAGGAGAGGAAATGAGGATGAGTATAGACTAACTCATTCAAGAATTTTGCCGCACAGGAAAACAAAGAAATAAAGAAGTAGCTGACAGGGGAATTGGGAGCCAATGGAAATTTTGTTGTTGCTTGATTTTTTGATACTACAAAGAACAAACAAACAAAAAACTACAATTATTTCAGTTAGATCTCTATAGAGATCTGTTTAAAGCCTCAAGTTAATTCATAGCATATCACAGTATGTGCGCAGTTTTCTTAACCACTTGTGTGATCCCTAATCTGACTTCATTCACGCATCAAATAGTTAACAATCACTTTAAGCATCAAAGGAGATGAAAAATCGATGTTATATTTGTAGTTAGAAAACTCAACCAAGACTGAAGTCTCCTCTGGGGAGTATTGGACATCGGATACTATTTCTCCTCCACATTGGAGATTTTCAAAGAAAATTGGTATGTTATTGTTATCAGCATTAGGTGGCGGGTTTTCCACCCTGATGGTTCTTGTTTGTTCCAGAAGTAGTGGAAAAATCTGAACTTTCTGAACCTATGGTGTCTACCACAGTCCTTAACAAATGTCATGACACCTACAAATAAAAATCAGTTTATTGGTACTGTAGCTTCATTTCATATTAGAAGAAAACATATTTTAAAAAGTAATCAGAATTACAAAGACTCTGTAGAAGAATCTTGATCAAAGAGGGGGAGGCGGAATGTGAAAGAGAATTTGAAATTCTCAATGGAATTCTGACTTTCTGGAGCCATTGAGGGTGGTTGAACCCCTACAACTATTGCCCTATGATTATCTATAAACTTTAAACCTTAGACCAAAACTATCCCCTTAAGTCTGCTTTGAAGCAAGAAATAGTTTATCTTAATTAGTAAAGTATGTCTGCTTTGAGCGTGTTCTTTTTTTTTTTATTGTTGTAATAAATGAAGTTTACATTTCAAGTTAGTCTCCCACACAGAATTTTTTTTTTACATACATTGTTATGAGACCCCAACTGCTCACCCCATTCTGCGACAGCACACTCCTACCCTCCACCCCTGATTCCCCATGAACATTCAACCAGCTCCTAACTCTCTCTGCCTTCCCATCTCCCCTCTGGACAGAAGCCGCCCCTTTGGTCTCTTGTATCAACTTGTCTAAGAGGCACATTCTTCACAAGTATCACTTTATGTCCCACAGTCCAGTCCAACCGCTGTCTGAAGAGTAGGCCTCCGAAATTGTTTTAGTTCTGGGGTGGTGGAGAGACCAGGGGCTATGCCTTCCAGGGCACCTCCAGTCTTAGTCAGACCATTAAGTCTGGTCTTCTTACTAGAATTTGAGTTCTGCATCCCATCGTTCTACTGCTCCATCAGGGGGCCTCTGTTGTATTCCCTGTCAGGACATTCTTTGGCGGTAGCCTGGCACCAGCTAGTTCTTCTGGTCTCAGGCTGATGAATTCTCTGGTTTATGTGGCCCATTCTGTCTCTTGGGCCAATACTTTCCTTCTGTCTTTGGTGTTCTTCGTTCTCCTTTACTCCAAGTGGTTGGGACCAATTGATGCATCTTAAATGGCCGCTTGCAAGCTTTTAGGACCCCAGGAGCGTGTTCTTTTAATGAATTATCTATGTGAGATCAAACTGACAACAGCAACTCAAAAGGTTGGATGGGAAGCTTAGGGGGCAGTGACTTTAAGATAACAGTGGTGGACTAATATGGAAAAGGATAGTAAGAATGGTAGCACAACCTAAAGAATGTAATCAATGTCCCTGAAATGTATTTGTAGAAATTGTTGAAATGGTGTATATTTGGCTGTAAATACTGTCACCAAAATAAAAACATTTTTAAAAAAGTAATTGGATTTAGAGATTATAGCTAAAAATTAAAATTTAGTGCTAAATTTCTATGCAAAGTTAGATTTCACAATGTCAAATTCTATTTACCGTATTTACTTGATCTCACCACAGACGTATGTGCTTAAAATTAAGACATCAATGTTACATACAACCCAAAGTTACAAACCAATCCCCATAAAGCCTATTACATTAAAAATCTGAGGTACATACAATGGTTCGTAATAACAAATTGGCACTCCTTTATGACATGCATCAAAACATTATTATTATTAATACTGTATTATTATGTTAAAGATGTTTTAGTGTATCTGGAAGTATTTCTTTAATGTTTTTTATGCATTGAAAGGTACACTATAACTGCATACTAAGACAAACATCTGACTAACTGATGGTAGATACGAACCTTACATAACTGTTCTGACTTACATACAAATTCAATTTAAAGACCAATTTAGGAACAGAACTCTTGTAATCTGGGGACTGCTTGTACAGAAAATTCCCAGTTCCAGATTATCCTGCTCCCGTAATAACTATCTTACCAGCTGGTACTTTACCATTTCTGGCAACCAAGCTCTGGGTCTCCTCTTGGATTTCAGAGCCGTCAGCAATCACCAGGGTCAGGGATCTCAGATGTAGAAAGTCTTCATCGGATGAATTCGCCATAACATCAACATATCTGATGAAGTAACCTTCAAGTTCCATACCTCTATTCCAGGAGTCTGATCTTCCAGCTCTGGAGAGACCAGGGTAGAGATACAAACAAATTTATTACAGAGGACCTTACACAACAGACTCTCGTTATTTTTAAAAACTTTTGAAGTCATTGTGATTAAGAGAAATTTGAGAACAATGATCACTAGTAGTCACCAGGGGCAGTCGGAAGAGGGAAGGGGGGCGGTTAACAGTGATGGAAATATCGCACTGATTACCGGTACGGTTGCACAACCGATTATTGTAATTGCTGTCAATAAATTGAACACTTTTGTGTGGGGGCAAGAGGGCAACTTGTCAAAAATTTCACTTCTCTCTGTGGTTTCATTTTTTCCCACTCATTTCACCATTGATCTTTTGGGTTTTGTCTTTAGAATCCAATGCATTCCCCAAAGAACTTTCAGCTGACATGCCACCATCCTCTCTTCCTGCTTCCTGCCTTTTCTGTTGTTGCAGTTGCTCTTCCTCCTGTTTGTCCTGTTCTTCAAGGTTTTTTTTTAAATTCAGCTTCTTCATATCTGAGTTTCAGGCTTTCAGAGAGTCTTTCGGCTTCTTTAATAGCTTTTTTGATGTCTGAAGGTCCAAGAAGTGAATGAAAGTAGTTCTGCTGTTACTTGAAATCAGGTCTTTTTCTGACAAGAACAGTCACATATTTCATATATAGTACACAGCCCCTTTCCTCATCACGATCTAATCTGTCTTCTTAAAGATCTTCAGGGTACTCTGAACATAAATCTTAGTGCTTATTGACTCTGGTTTAACTTCTATGTTCTTTTCGAGGTCTTTTAGTGAAGAACTGAAGTAGAATTCTTTAGGAACGGAAGCCATGGCAGACATGATGAATAATCTTCACTGTTCCACTTTCACAATGGATGGTGCATTTCTTGAAAAGTACAGGCATGCTGAGAAACTAATTTGCTATGTAAACTTTAACCTAAATTGCCAAAATAAATAAATAAATAAAAGATTGTAAATAGAAACATCTACTTTAAGGAAAAAAATACACGTATGCCTTGGAGATACTGCAGGTTCAGTTGCAGACCACTGCAATAAAGCGAGTCCCACTAATTTTTTGGTTTCCCAGTGCATACAAAAGTTATGTTTACACTACACTAGTCTATTAACCGTGCAGTAGCATTGTGTCTAAAAAAACAGTGTACATACCTTAATTAAAAAAATACTTTATTGTTAAAAAATGCTAACCATCATCTGAGCCTTTAGCGAGTTGTAATCTTTTTGCTGGTGGAGGGTCTTGCCTCTATATTGATGGCTGCTGACTGATCAGGCTGGTGGTTGCTGAAGGTTGGGGTGGCTGTGGCAATTTCTTAAAATAAGACAACAATGAAGTTTGCTGCATCAATTGACTCTTCCTTTCAAGAAATATTTCTCCATAGCATGAGATGCTGTTTGATAGCATTTTACCCACAGTAGAACTTCTTTCAAAATTGGAGTCAATCCTGCTGCTGCTTTAGCAACTAAGTTTATGTGGTATTCTAAATCTTTTGTTGTCATTTCAACAACGTTCACAGCATATTTACTAGGAGTAGATTCCATCTCAAGAAACTACTTTCTTTGTTCATCCATAAGAAGTGACTCCTCATCCATTAAAGTTTTATTCATGAGACTGCAGCAATTCAGTCACATCTTCAGGGTCCACTTCTAATTCTAGTTCTCTTGTTAGTTCTAGCACATCTGCAGTTACTTCTTCCACTAAAGTCTTGAGCCCCTCAAAGTCATCCATGAGGGTTGGAATCAACTTCTTCCAAACTCCTGTTAATGTTTATATTTTGACCTCCTCCCCTGAATCATGAATGTACTTAATGGCATCGAGAATGGTGAATCTGTTCCAGAAGATTTTCAATTTACTCTGCCCAGATCCATCAGAGGAATCACTATCTATGGCAGCTATAGCCTTACAAAATGTATTCTTAAATAATCAGATTTGAAAGTCAAAATTACACCTTGATCCATGGGCTGCAGAAAGGATGCTGGGTTAGCAGGCATGGAAACAACATCAATCTCCTTGTACATCTCCATCAGAGTGCTTGGGTGAACAGATGCATTATCAATGAGCAGTAATATTTTGAAAGGAATCTTTTTGTTTTCTTTTCCTGAGTGGGCTTAAAATATTCAGTAAACCATGTTGTAAACAGATGTGCTATCATCCAGGCTTTGTTGTTCCATTTATACAGCACAGGCAGAGTCGATTTAGCATAATTCTTAAGGGTCCTAGGATTTTCCGCATGGTAAGTCAGCATTGGCTTCAACTGAAAGTCAACAGCTGCATTAGCCTCTAAACAGAGAGTCAGTCTGTCCTTTGAAGCTTTGAAGCCTTGAAGCCAGGCATTGATTTTCCTCTCTAGCTCTGAAAGTCCTAGATGGCATCTTCTTCCAACATAGGATTATTTCGTCTATATTCAAAATCTGTTGTTTAGTGTAGCCACCTTCATCAATTATCTTTGCTAGATCTTCTGGATAACTTGCTGAAGCTTCTACATCAACACTGGCTGCTTCACCTTGCACTTTTACATTATGGTGATGGCTTCTTTCCTTAACCCTCACGAACCAACCTCTGCTAGCTTCAACCTTTTCTTCTGCAGCTTCCTCACCTCTCTCGGCCTTGATAGAATTGAAGAGAGTTAGGGCTTTGCTCTGGATTAGGCTTTAGCTTAAGGAATGTTGTGGCAGTTTGACCTTATGTATGGAGGCTCATACATTTTCAAAATTTATATGAAATGGTGAGTTTGAGAGGATTCATGTTTAATGAACAGGTATTGGGAAAGTCTTACTTATGAGTCAAAAACACGTGTATGTTTTATTCATACCTTTTGATTTTTATCAGTATCTTAGTTTGGGTTCTCTTAGAGGCAGACCCTGGGACAAGGATTTGTGTGGAGCAGTTTATTTGGAAAGTGATCCCCAAAACACCAGAGGTATGCAGGCGTGAGCAGGAAAATTAAGACAGGGAAAGGAAGACAATGAATAAAAGATGTGTTACCAAGCAAATGGAGATTTACTCCCCTGGGGGAATGTTAGAAGCTAGTGTAGCTCATGAGCCTCAGAGCTGTACCACCACAGGGGTAAAGGAGCTGGGACATGTATCCAATTTTACAAGTCACTGGTTGAGGGCTCCCTCTGGGGACACTGGGACAGCAAATGAGGGGAGCATTGACAGTGACTGCTACAATGAGTCATTCCTCATGATACTCTGGTTTTGTGACACAATTTTGTTGTTGTTTTTGTTGGATGCCATCGAGTCGGTTCTGACTCACAGCAACCCTGTATGACAGAGTGGAACTGACCCATAGGGTTTCCAAGGAGTGGCTGGTGGATCTGAACTGCCAACCTTCTGGATGGTAGCCGAGTTCTTAACCACTGGGCCACCAGGGCTCCGGCATAATTTTAGTGGAATTAAAATTTATGGACTAAAAATAATTTACTATATGTGGCAGACAGGAAGATATACTGCTCAGATCTGCCTTCACTTTGCTGATGAAGAGGGAAAGATAACCATCTGACAGCCTCCACCTATTAGACCCTTCAGGGTTTACTTCAGCTTTTGAGCCAAGGTCACATATTATCAGGGTGGCCCCATCTGTGACTGACAAAGAGCGTTAATGCCCAACATGGGAGTCCTCTCCTGAGGAGTCCTGGGATGGTAGGAACTTTGTCAGGTTTCCATTGCATGTGATGTCTGTGCTGTCCACCCTACTTCCTCCCTTCTCCTTTCACAATAAACCATTGCACTCCCAACTCTGTCTCAGCTTCTGCTTCCTGGAGAACCCAGCCTGTGACATTGTATTTTATGGAGTCCAAGATATCATTATTATCTGCCACTGTAAGAGGAAAAATGATGCCAATTAAACCATAACATGTCATCGAATGATAGGGGGTAACCTTATTTAAGAGATATTAAAATGTGAAAAAATGTGCATTCTAAAATAGCTTAAATGTGGAAATTAGTTACATTTTATGTGAACTACATTCTCTAATCTGAGCAGCACAGAAAGAGCTCTGGTAGCCTCAACTACTCAAGAGAAGCAGCAAGCTGGTTGTCAGGTCTTTTTGGCCCGAGCTTTGGTTGAAAATCTCAAGTGGGCCACCCCCTAGGATTAAGCAGGTTCCATTTGGCTCTTGCAGCCCTTTTTGAGCAAAGGGACATTCACGTAGGTCACTACTTAAGGCCAATTTCAGCTGCAAAGATACTGTCAAAAGAGTCCTACATCTTGAAGCCAAAAGAAAGGATCACAGGGAGCCCTAAGAGAACATGTCTGCTGGTGTCTCAGTGCCTCTGAAGCAGTTCCCTTTCTGAAACATGTGCTGGGGTCTCTATGAGGTCTAGAATCACACACCTGAGCACTTCTGTATCCCCTCTTCCCACTGGGGAAAGACCTGAGCCAAGCTTTTGTGAAACAACAGTGATAGCACAGCAGTCCTACTGGTATCTAATTATAATCTGCTGCTTCAGCACTCTATGAGAAATGAGAATGGTTTAAAGAAAATTGAAATCAAAGTCTGCAGATTACTATAACAATATAGCCTGATAAATACAAAACAGCAGAAATCCAGCTAAAAGCACTATGTTGGGGTGAGGCTGCTTTTTCATCTGTGTATTGGAAACCTTTTAAATACTAAATATTACAGCACACATTGACCCTGCCCCACTTCCAAAGAGGCCACTGCACTTCCATTCAGGATGAGATGAAGGGTTGCAGTTTAACAATACCCAAAGGTCACAGACCAAAATGATCCAAAGACTGGCCGAGACTGATCTCCAATCTCCAAAGACCTGTAGAATGTGTCTAGACAGAGGCCATGAGGATATGAACCTCATCACCTACCCCTACCCACCCACCAGTAAGGACCCGCTCTCAGTTGCCTATTTCCTGGCACAAGCTTTAATGTGGAACTTTCAGATTTAACAATCAAGGTGCCTCTTCTCTATTCCCTTGTTTTATTCCTCCCCTTCACTCTCCTTCTCCGTCCTGCAAAAGCCAAATTTCAGAATAAGTGGAGAGGATC